CAGGAAAGAAGCAAAGAATGTTCCGCCCTAACCAGTTTGGCTCAGTGGATAGAGCGTCGGCCTGCGGACTGAAGAGTGCCAGGTTCGATTCCGGTCAAGGGCATGTACCTTGGTTGCAGGCACATCCCCAGCAGGAGGTGTGCAGGAGGCAGCTGATCGGTGTTCCTCTCTCATCAATGTTTCTCTCTATCCCTCTTCCTTCCTCTCTGTGAAAAATCAATAAAATATATTTTAGAAAAAAAAGAATGTTCCAAATAGGCAAGAGAAAAGATGGGAGACCCTACAGTTGTAAGCCAAAATCAGAATTCCCTACAAGTCTGGGGATGAAGATGAAAGGCACTAAATATCAGTGAAAGTTGTAGAACATGCCACAGAGGTTGGCCGGCCTTGAAACAGACACTTAGGTGGAGGTGGAAGTGGCCGCCCTTCATGATGCTGAGCCACAAGAAGGCCATCAGCCTAGGAGACTAGATGTTTGCTGGGGTCCCATGATGGAGGCTGCAAGTCCCATCCAGCTGGATCCACACACGGCTGTGGAAGACATCGCCTAGGCCCTAGGGAAAGGAGGCCCCAGCTCCTCCGAGAGACGTTTTCCCATTTCCTACCACCTGGCTGATATGTAACACCAGTTATGACTTTCCTCAGCACAGCTAGAGTCTACATATCCATTTAGGAGCTCCAAAAACCAAGATGGCAGTTCCAACATGGAGGTTGCTGTGAGCTCCTTATCAACCACATATTCTTAAAGTCAAAGAGATCTGGATTCTAATCCCACCACCTCCTGTCTCTTTCCTCAACCAAGTGAGTATCAGGGTGAAAAATTATTTTGTTTGTGGTTATCATGCCCACATGGAAATTGGCACCTTAGATCGGAATGACCATCTGTTTTGTGCAGTGGTATTGTCTGTTGGACAGTGGCCTATCAAATATGCATGGGAGGAGCTTATTCTTCACTCCCATCAGCCTCAAGGGCTGTGTGGCTCAGCTTCCCTGTATTGCCATTTATGGCTCTGTCATAAATCTGTCCAGAATTCTGTTTTATGCTTCTGTACCTTCTGCCCATAGCACTTTCCAGGGTTATGCGTCTCTAAAGTTTTATTCCCTTCTGTGTACATAGTAGTTGACTAAGTGTGCCCAGGGACTAAGAAGCTGTGGGTTGACAGAAAATCCATGAATAACAGACCCTTACAGGATGAGGGGCTCTGTCCTGCAGTGAAATGTCAGCCTGGGAGTGAATGTCCGTGACTTGTCAGAAGCGTCTCTTGCCCCAGCTGGTGTGGCTCAGAGGTTGAACCAGGAGGTCATGGTTCAATGCCTGGTCAGGGCACATGCCCAGGTTGGGGGCGTGCAGGAGTCAGCCAATCGATTATTTTCTCTCATCATTGATGTTTCTATCATTCTCTCACTCTTCTCTGAAATCAATAAAAATATATTTTTTAAAAAGAAGCATCTGTCTTCCCTAGACCAAGCTCAGTAATGTGAGCCAACAGGGCACTCAGCAGCCTCCTGCGGAGGGCAGGGTGAGGCTCAGGAGACCTGGGTTCTAGTTTACAGTTTGCTATTAACCTGCTACAGGACTTCTTCTTCCCCCCTCTCTGGACATCAGCTTCTGTCTTTATAAAATAAGATTTGACAATGAAGAATCCTGCCTCACATGTGAGCTTTTGCAGTTCCAGATCCTGCCCCCTGTGAACCAGGCACCGCTGGCGCCGTTCCATTCACGAGGGCCTGCAACAACTGTTGGTCCAGTGGGACTGCCCTGACTTGGGGGTGGTTGGGGACCTCTCTATAATCAGGTGCTGGGGCACTTTCCTTTTTTCCATCATACCCACTCCACTAGGGAAGAGTGGAGGATGCAGCCCCACAGCACGACCTCAGCTGGGCCTGCAGCCTGCGCGAGGGATTTTGCAGTGGGCAAAGGTCCTTCCAGTTCGCACAGCCTAGGATTCTGGTGGTTCAAGCCCTCTTTCTTCTTTAGTGCCCCCAGCTGTCATCCATAGGATGGCCCACCTACATTAGGTTACTTCTGAGAATAAACTATTAATAAGGACAGCAGATGGTGGGCATAAACCTGGAGCATTCTGGGCAAACGGGGACTAATGGTATGTGTCACCATGCATACCCTGCCAACATCCAGTCCTGAGGAACCGCTGGTTCTGCCATTCAGCTAGCATCGCTTTACCAGGGGTGGGCAAACTTTTTGACTCGAGGGCCACAATGGGTTCTTAAACTGGACCGGAGGGCCGGAACAAAAGCATGGATGGAGTGTTTGTGTGAACTAATATAAATTCAAAGTAAACATCATTACATAAAAGGGTACGGTCTTTTTTTTTTTTTTTTTTTTTTTTTTTTTTTTTTTTTTATTTCAAAGGCTGGATCCAATATAAATTCAAAGTAAACATCATTACATAAAAGGGAGGGTACAGTCTTTTTTTTTTAGTTTTATTCATTTCAAACGGGCTGGATCCGGCCCGCAGGCCATAGTTTGCTCACGGCTGCCTTAGACTAAGCCTAAAAGAAGTCAGACTGCAGACAAACAGCTACCCCTGAAGTCGGAAGGCGAGTTCTGGGCCAGCTCTGTCATTAATTTGCTGTATGTGACTAAAGCCAGGTCACGTAAAAAGCTCAGAGCCACAGCTTCCTCTATCAAATGAAGGGTTTGAACAAAATGTGGTTTCTTCCAGCCTCAACACCCAGGCCTCTTTCTCCTTCTGGGTCCTTCCCTTTTGATTAAGATGTAAGTTCAAGGGAGGTCACTGCCAAAGGTGGCCTTTGGGCCTGAGTATAAACTGACCACCACATTCTTTGCCTCCACTACCACCTGGAGACGGCTCTGACCTGCCAGAGTTCGTGGCCCTGGCTCTGCACTGCGGCCCCTCCTCTGGGTGCAGTGGCCCCTGCCCCCAGCACAACACAGCTCTCCCCAGGGGACTCAGGCTTTCGTCAGCATTTAGAAGTGTGTGTGTATTTATAAAGCTGCTGTGTTTCTTCCAGCATCTGAAGCCTTTTACAGGCATTAATTAAGGAAGGTTCACAGCAAGCCCAAGAGGGAAGGAAGGAAAGAAGAGTTTGAAGGATTCTTTAAAGGACCAGTTTCTCCAGCTGGGGGCCTCTCCTGTTTTTTCTGTGACTTCTCAGTCTCCAGAACACACCCACACATGCGCACACGTGTATACATGTGTATGTGCACGCACATGTATGCACATACACATATGTGTGTAGGCACACATGCATGCACATACTGATGCATGCACACATACCTATGCAAACAGATGCATACAAACATCCCCACACCCATGCACACACGCACATGCACACACACCAGCCCATTTCCAGTGGCCTGTTGTATCCTTCAACAAAGTCCTGCCAGTCCC